CCTCTATTAAGAAAAAAATTACAAAGCATGTAAAGGACAAAAAATACAGTCTGAAGTGATAAAGATGTGGTAGATATTTGATAATTATCAGATTAAGAATTTAAAATAATTATGACTAATATCCTTATAATTTTAAAGGAAAAAGTGGACAAGATGCAAAAAGATGGGTACAGTAAGGAAAACGGGAAACTCTAAGAGTAATCAAAATAATGCTAAAAATAAAAAACATGCCATTCATGAGCTCATTAGTAGATTGGACACAGTGGAGAAGGAATCAATTAGCTTAAAGATATGTAAACAGAAACTCTCCAAACTAAATGTAAAGAGAAAAATAGGTGAAAAAAATAAAATAGATCATCTAAGACTGAGTAATAATTACGAAAGGTATAAATATTCATAACTGGAAGACTAGAAGAAGAAACAAAGAACAAAAATTTGATATTTATACTATGCACATATATACATGTTTATAATAATAGATGAGAAACCTCCAAAGTTATGAAGGACAACAAACCATGGATTCACAAAATTCATAAAACACCAAGCTAGGCACACACCAAAATATCTACACCTAGGCATATTAAGTTTACACTATAAAAAATAAAGGGCAAAGAGAAAAATCTTGAAAGAAGTTGCAGAAAGGTGGTAGAATATCTCACCTATATAGGAACATGGATAAAAATTACATGGGATTTTTCTTCAAAAATCAGACAAGCCAGAAGAGAGTCAAATATTTAAAGAAAAACACTACCAATCTAGAATTCTGTATAAAGCACAAGTATCCTTCAAAAGTGATGTAGAAATAGACTTTCTCAGTTCAAACAAAAATTGAATATTTGTTATCAGTTGACACACTCACCAGAATTTGTTAAAATAAGGTTTTTTCAGAGAAAAAGAAAACATTGTATGTCAGAAACAAACATAACGTGTACTAGAGAAGAAAAAATTTATTATCCTTTCAATGTCCATGAGGTTAGTTTTTGGTGATGATGTTGGTAATTTTTGGTGATGATGTTGGTAATTTGCGTCTTTTATTTTTCTTGGCTAGCTTGGCAAACCTCATATTAATGTTAGAATATTGTCAAAAAAACAGGTTTGAGTTCATTGATTTTCTTCTGTTGTTTTTGTTTTTAATTTCATAGATTTATCTGCTCTGATTTTTATATATTTTTCTCTGTTTATCTTGGATTTGGTATATTTTTCTCTGCTTAGCTTTGATTTGTTCTAGTTTGCTAAAGTAAAATATTAGACTACTGATTTAGATATTTTTCTTTTTAATATATTGATTATTTTAATATATGAATTCAACCTTATAAAATTTTTCTAAGGTGCTTTTACTATATCACTCACATTTAGAATAACTTGTATTTTTATTTTCATTTAGTTCAGAATATTTTTATCCAATTCACTACAGTGTCTTACAGAAAATACAAGGAGAGGGAATACTTCTTAATTCATTCGATGAATCCAGGATCATCTTAACCCCAAAACCAGGAAAAAACATGAAAATAAAGGAAAATGGCAGAATAATATCTCTCATGAACACAGATATAAAAATACTCAACAAAATGATAACAGATTGATTTAAGCATGGACAAAAAGAATTATGCACCACAACCTGGGACTTAGCCCAGGAATGCAAAAGTGGTTCAACATCTAAAAATCAGTTAGTGAAATCTATCACATCAACAAGCTAAGGAAAAAAAATCATATGATTATATCAATAGATGCCTGAGGTACATTTGACAAAATCCAGCATCCATTCATAATTTAAAAAAAAAGAACTCTCAGCAAACTAGGAATAGAAAGGGATGTCCTCAACTCAATGAAGAACATTTACAAAACATACATAACACTGTACTTAATGGTGGGAAGTCATATAGTTTTCAGCTAATATAGGGAAAAAGGCAAGGATGTACCTTCTCACTACTTCTATTCAACATCGTACTTGAAGTCCTAGCTCATGCAGTAAGACAAAAGAGGAAATAAAAAGTATACAGTTTGGGAAGAAAGAAAGCTGTCTTTGTTTATAGATGACATGGTTGTCTATGTAGAAAACCTCTCAATATTAACAATAGCAAAAAAATAATTGCTGGAACTAATGAATATGGTTACAGGAAATAAGTTTAATACACACATTCAATTGGTTTTCTTTATATCAACAGTGAACAATTTAAATTTGAAGTTAAAAACAGCATATCGCCAGGCTCGGTGGCTCAGCCTGTAATCCCGTGCCTTTGGGAGGCTGAGATGAGTGGATTGCCTGAGCCCGCGGGTTCAAGACCCGCCTGGGCAGCGAGACCTCATCTCTACAATAAATTAAAAAAATCAGCCGGGCATGGTAGTGCATGCCTGTAATTCCAGCTACTTGGAAGGCTGAGGTGGAAAGATCGCCGGAGCCCAATAGGTCGAAGCTGTGGTGTCCAGGAGCGGCCACTTCACTCCAGTCTGGGTGACAGAGTGAGACTCCAACTCAAAAAAACCCCAAAAAACAAAAAACAGCATATCATTTACTTTAGCACCAAAATTGAATTATTTAGGCATAAATCCAAGAAAATATTAATAAAACCTAAATGAAAAAACTTCAAAACTCTGATTAAAAATCAAATATTATTTAGATATTAGTTCTTTCTAAACTGTTCTGTGGATCTAACACAATACTAATCCAAATCTCATCAAGTTATTTTGTCAATTTTAACAAACTGATTCTAAAATTTATATGGTAAGGCAAAAGATCCAGAATAGCCAACACAACACTGAAGGAGAAAACAAAATAAAAAAACTGACAGTACTCAAGTTCAAGTCTTACTGTAAAGCTATAGTTATCAAGATCAGAATTTTATGAAAAAGAATAGTTAACTCATAAATAAACCCCCACAAATAAAATCAACAGATCTTTGACAAAGGAGCAAAGTCTCTAAAACAGAGAAAGAACAGTCTTTTCAACAAATAGTGCTCAAACTTGACATCTACAAGCAAAAAGATAATAATAGTAGTCTAGACACTGACTTTACATTCTTCATGAGCAATAACTCAAAAAGGATCATAGACCTAAGTGTGAAATACAACACCGTAGAGCTTCTAGAAGATGATACAGGAGAAAATCTATGTGACCTTAAGTTTGGCAATACATTTTTAGATATATAATCCAAAGCATATTCCATGAAAAAAAATAGTTGATAGATTGGATTTTACTAATATTTAAAAATTCTGCTTTGGGAGAACACTGTTAAAAAAATGAAAAGACAAGTCACAGACTGAGAGAAAATATTTGCAAAACACATATCTGATAAAGAATTAGTATCCGAAACACACTAAGAACAGTAATGATAATAAACAATCCTTCCAAAAAGTGGATAAAGGAACCAAACAGACACTTCATAAAAGAAGTTATACAGAAGTCAGACAAGCACATGAAATATGGCTAATATCATGTCATCAAGGGATTGAAAATGAAAGTAACTAGGAGATACCACAATACATCTATCAGAATGTTCAGCCTGAAATTCCGGCACTTTGGGAGGTCGAGGTGAGTGGATTGTCTGAACCTGTGGGTTTGAGACTAGACCGGGCAACTTGGCACGTCCTCGTCTCTACAATAAATCAAAAATGAGCTGGGAGTGGGAGCAGGTGCCTGTAGTTCCGGCTATTTGGAAGGCTGAGGCAGAAGGATCGTTGGAGCCCAGCAGGTTGATGCTGGGGTGGCCGTGAGCATGCCACTGCACTCCAGCCTGGGTGACGGAGCGAGACTCCAACTCAAAAAAAAAAAAAAAATCCAAAGACTGACAACACTGCATGCTAATGAAGATGTAGAGAAACAGAGGACTCTCATTTATTGCTGGAGTAATACCTAGCTTCAAAAATATAATTTATACCACATGAAAAAGGCTTGTGGATGGAATATAATGTGTTTTGTGTTAGAACTTTTAAATCCTTGTCAAAGATATGCAAAGATGAAATAGGCTGTGATTGGTTTAGAGAGTTTTCTGCTGTTGCAAGTGTGAAATTCCAGGCTGAATAATTATTGGCCAGATTTTGTAACCTATTTTTTAAATATGATAATCCAAAATAGTTAAGTAAATAACTTTTTTTTTTCCCAGTCAGCTAACACATGGCAAAACAAGTACTGGAATCCAGAACAACCTGATTTCAAAGATCATATTATTTTTATTAGAACCACATTACCGCTGGGCTCAGTGACTCAAGCCTATAATCCTAGCACTTTTGGGAGGCCAGTGCGAGACGATTGCCTGAGACCAGGGGTTTGAGAACAGCCTGGGCAACTTGGCAAAACCTTGTCTCTACAATAAATAAAAAAATTAGCCGGACATGGTGACTCGTGCCTGTCGTTTCGGCTACTTGGAAGGCTGAGGCGGAAGGATTGCCTGAGCCCAGCAGGTCAAGGCTGCAGTGGTTATGAGCATGTCACTGTACTTGAGTCTGGGCAACAAAGAGTGAGACTCCAACTCAAAAAAAAAACAAAAAACAAAACAAAACCACATCACCTCCTGGAGATGAATGCAAAGGACATTTTAATAATAGAAGAGAGTTTGTTAGAGGAGTTTCGAATATTACTAATTTCTTAAAAGAAAAAATATATTTAGAGTGAATATTACATAAATTAAAAATAAGGATGTCAGTTGCATTTAAAAATCTGTTAATTTCAGCCAAGGTATCTCATGCCTATAGTCCCAGCACTTTGGGAGGCCGAGTTAGGAGACTCTCTTGAGCCCAGGAATTCAAAGCCAGCCTGCCTGGGCAACATAGTGAGACAGTCATCTCTACAAAAAAAAAAAAAAAAAAAAAAAAAAGAAATTAGCTAGGCATGGTGGTGCCAACTATCGGTCCAGCTACACAGGAAGCTAAGGTAGGAGGGATCCCAGGAGGTCCAGGGGCAGTGAGCCGGGATCACATCACTGTATTCATCCTGGACAACAGAGTGAAATAATAATAATAATAATAATAAATGAGCTGTTAATTTCAGTGAAATATTTACTTACCAGGAGTCCTGGTTCTGGAACAGGAGAAGGTCTTAAAAACCGCTTGTTTAATTTTTTTTTCTCTTTCTTTAGGTTTTTCATTTCCTGAATACGTTGATTTGCAAGCTTTAGGAAAATTAAAAGGAAATAAAACATAATTTTTATAACATAGAAAGGGAACATGATTATGTCTTTGATTTGTGTCCAGAGGAAAAGATAAACACAATCAATTCTTATAATTTACAGAGCTACATATAAGTAGAAAAAAATAAAAATATTTCTTTCAAACGTGTAGGTAAAAAAAAAAAACAAAAACCATTGGAGCATCAGTAGAGTTTTAAAATGAGACTATTTACTTCTGATTCCCACATCACCAGTGTGCACATTTTGATAGATCCAGACTCATGGATATGTGTGTTTACTTTTATTTTTAGGATGATGTTCATTAAGAACACCTAGGGAATTTTCTCTGTGGAAATAAGAAGACATGTAAATTCTTTACTCTTTTTTTTTTTTTTTTTTTGAGTTGGAGTCTCACTCGGTCGCCCTGACTGGAGTGCAGTGGCCACTCCCGGCCACCGCAGCCTCGACCTGCTGGGCTCCGGCGATCCTTCCGCCTCAGCCTTCCGAGTAGCCGGAATTACAGGCATGCGCTACCACGCCCGGCTGCTTTTTTGATTTATTGTAGAGATGAGGTCTCGCTGCCCAGGCGGGTCTCGAACCCGCGGGCTCAGGCAATCCACTCACCTCTACCTGCCAAAGGCGCAGGATTACAGGCTGAGCCACCGAGCCCGGCTCTTTACTCTTTTTAAATGTTTTATGTCACACACAGATTTTTGAATGGCTTCTACAAGTAACAGAGAACCTAGGAAATCGACCTAGAATCTTTTGAAGATAATGAAATACAGAATAAGAATGGAGAGGATATAAATAGCAATAACTTTTAAAATTCATTGCCAGTGAGAGTATAAATGGATACAACTGCTTTGAGAACAATGTGGCATTAATTTACAACAATGAAAAATATTCTTTCCCTATGATTCAGCCATTTCACTTCTGCCGAAATAATCAAGTGGAACACTTGTGCATGGGGAAAGAAGATATGTACTGGAATGTTTGCAGTAGCGAACATTCTAGGAAAATGTGAAAGCAGTCTAGAGTCCATAAACAGCAGAAAGGGTTAATGAATAGTGATATGATCCACAGCAAGATATTAAGCGGCAGTGAAAATAAAGGAACTGCAACTATAGACAGCAATGTAGATGAATCTTAGAAAACAATGTTGAGAAGAAAGAGTAAATGATACACTTCATTTTGTGTGATCATATGTTTATGAAGTTCAGAACCAAGTAGAAAACAACAAAAACCTGTGTTTTTACAGAGGCACACAGGTAACACACTATTAAAGAGAAGGAGGAGATTGATAAAATTAAAACTCAAGATTGTGGTTATCTCTGGGAGACAGCCGGGAAAATAGAACAGGAAAGCCTTCCCTAGCTGGATTCAAGAGCTATGTTTTAATTTTTTTTTTTGGAGTTGGGGTCTCACTCTGTCGCCCAGACTGGAGTGCGGTGGCCGGGAGCCGGCTGGACTGCTGGGCTCCGGCGATCCTTCCGCCTCAGCCTTCCAAGTAGCCGGAATTACAGGCGTGCGCTAACCACGCCCGGCTAATTTTTGATTTATTGTAGAGACGAGGTTTCGCCAAATTGCCCAGGCGGGTCTCGAACCCGCGGGCTCAGGCAATCCACTCACCTCGGCCTCCCAAAGCGCGGGATTACAGGCTGAGCCACCGAGCCCGGCTCTATGTTTTAATTCTTAAGTGGAAAGAATATTTTAGTATTCTGCTATATAAGTTGTACTTCTGTATATGTATCAAATGTTCCACCAAAAAACAAAAATATACGACATTCAATTTACCTTAGTTAAGACCCATTCCAATAGTACCCACAAGATCCCTGAGTTCCAAGAAAAATATCACAGAAGTGTCTCATTTTATTAATGAAAGTCCAATCATGTTAGGGCACACGTCAAAAGCCCAATGTTAAAACAACGAGATTTGAGTTTCTTATTTAAATATTACCTGCCGTTCCGTGACCTCTGAAGGATGTTGTTGTCTTGCTCCTTCCTATATAATATACAAAATTTAAACACACACACACACATGAAAGTGGTTAGAAAGCAGAAAAATTAGTTATTATAATAGGAAGCCTATGCTACTTTTTAAAAAATTATGTATTATATGAATATTATTTCAACTCCAACAGGCAAGAAGAGAATAAAAACTTATAGGGTAAAAACCGGTTTAAAATATGAAGGCAATATTATCAGGGAAAAAAAAGAAACACCTGATAGGGAACAGGCAGAATACTGAGATTTATTCTGGAGGGAAAGGATGCACAGGAAAACCATTCATGTTTCTGCTAGCACAGGTCTTCAGTGGTGCCACCCAGCTCCTCGTTGAGGGATCTAGCCATACATGTGTCTTCTAAAGCCTAGGAAAACTGATGTGATTGAGATGGTGTGGTTTTTGCTGAAGCACAGGAAGCTTGGCTGTTGGTGTAAGGTTTCCACTCATTCCCGTTTTAAATTGTATCTTAAATGCCTCCCGCTTCTTCCCTTTTGATTCTCTCCCCCCCCCCCACGAAGACCCAAAAGCAATCTCTTTTACACTTGAATATTGATAATTTTATCGCATCCTATAATTCCCACCCCCATAATTCCCCACCCTTCTGGTGGGGGGAGGAGGAGTCAATGGGTCAGTCAACAAACTTGATTGAAAGTGCCTGACCCCTAGCAAGCGCCAGGTGAGGCTCTTTCTTGTCTCAGGTGGGTCCAGCAGGCCAGAATCTGGTCTGTCTACTTCACCTAAGCCCCAGCATCAAACCAATTCTGCAACAGCTGTAGGTGCGCCATGGCCTGGAATATTCATCCCGGGGCAGGGGCATCTGAAGGGAGGTCAATAGCCCCAGAGGACTTACTGGGTGGACTAGGGAAGGATCGGTGCCCCAGCAGTTTAGGCACATGCTGCCGAGCCTCAGGGCACCCCTGGAGCCTACTGTCTGACTTGGACTAAGTAACAGTGGGGCCCACCCCCATAACCCTCAAGCCCCGCCCCGCCCATCACAATTCTCTTTATTCTCCGGTCATGGTCCCTGTTCTTTCCCTTGGTGTCTTCCGGTTCCAATGCAGGGAAGGCAACGCTACGAGCAGTCCTCAAAGAGTTGTTAGAGTTATGGATGTCAGATTGTCTTAATTTCCTATATCCTATCCGTCTTGCTCAGAAAAACCACACAGTACCAATTTCTCATCTTTTCTAGTCCTCATCTTTCCACTCTCGTAGAAAATCCCTTTCATCCCTTCACATATCTTGCTTAGGCCCTGTGGTCTATCACTTCCAGCTGTTTGTTGTTAGAATTCTCAATTCCATCAGCTCATTGTTGTTTCATCACAGCCTCTAGCTGGGTGGAGCCAGTAGTCTGCCTTCTTCCTGTTTTTCTACACCAGGCTGAAGGGGAGGAGAACTTGAAGAGGGCTGCAATATAGATCCATGACCTCCAATTTAAACTGGGTCCTTAACATTGGTTGCCACTTGTATGTAGCACAACCTCGTTTTTATGCTCTGCTGTATTCCCTTCAAACTTTCTTGATGCTGGCTAATACGTATAGAGCGTATCATGCTCAGCACTTTTAGATGAGGTTAAATATATTAACTAATCAATTCCTTAGCCCTACCCAAACGGAATAGGTGCATAATGATTATCACTGGGAAACAAGACACTGGAATGTCAAATCACTTACCTGAGGTTATACAATTAATAAGAGGGTGAGCAGATTATACCATTCATAAGAGGAATTTAGATCCAGAGTTGGAGATAGGTGTGGGAGCTCAAGTCTATAATCCCAGTGTTTTGGGAAACTGAGGTGGGAGGATTGCTTGAGGCTAGAAGTTTGAGATCAGCCTGATCAACAGAGAGAGACCTCTTCCTACAAAAAAGTTAAAAAAAAAATCTGGGTATGTTGGCACACACCTGTAGTTCCAACTCAGGAGGCTGAGTTGGAAAGATTGCCTGAGCCCAGGAGTTTGAGACTGTGCTGAGCCGTGATGGTGCCCCTGCACTCCAGCCTGGGTGACAGAGTGACACTCCTCAAAATCAATCAATCAATCAATCAATCAATCAATCAATCAATCAATCCAGAGTTGACCTCAGAGCAGGTAGTCTTAATCCTGGTGCTATACTAGTGATTGCTTTTGAAACCCAAACTGGACCTACTTCAATACCACCCATATGCTGTAACCTTGCCTGTATCCATACTATTATTTTCCTATAATCCTGTTGAAATGGAAAAAGATGACTTCCCTCCTCTTGTCTTAAACGCATCTCTCCATTTCTGTTTCCATGCCATTTCATATCTAGGAGCCTCCTCGGAGATCTAGCTCTATAGATTGTTTCCTCGCTTTATCAGTCTCTATTTCCTCTTTCCTTTAAATACTGCAATACTATAGCTCACATTTCCCCCTCTTCAAACTAATAAAGGAAACCCCTTTGAAGAAGAACAACAACGGTATCTATTGCCCATCCTCTACATGTAAAGTAAGTAACCATGAGAGTTGTTTATATCTCTACTTTCAGTGTAGTACCTGGCTCACTGCAATTTACTTTAACTGTTACTACTCAACTGGCTCTTGTCTCACAATGGTCACTAATGATCTTTCTGATGAATTCAACAGAAACTTTTTACCACATGACCTCTGTATCATGTTAGAAAAAGATCAGCAGTTTCTTGGACAAGTTAGGTTTAGAAAAATTAAATAATCTTGCCCAAGTGTAGTGTTTAAAAACCATTGACCTCTCTTTTCTCCTCTTTGGGAACAATAAAGTGCAGAACAATTATACAATCTTGCCCTTTATCACAAACTGGAAATTGACTTGAAATGCTATAGAACATATGTTTTAAATACTTACTATTATATATCTTGATGAGTCCTATGGATACAAAATGAATAAAGTAAATTATTGCTCTCAAAAAGTCAGATGAATTAGCAAAAAATAAAAAGGTTGAACAGTGTATTGTGAGCTTTGATAATTACACATGTTGTGAGGGCATTCAGAAACTTCTAGATCTCTCTGAAGACCCACAAAGCCTTCTCAGTGAAGAAGCTAGAATCTACCAGATAGCTAAGGAAAGAGCATTCCTGACAGAGGTAGCAATATGTTGAAATGGTAGGGGGTAGGAATCAACGTTGCATATTTCATGAATAGATAATTACTGTTATTGCAATTTTTTACACATCGCGTCTCATTACCTCTCTCCCACTTTTGTTTCATACAATAGAAAAATCAAAAGGGCTAAAGTTGAAATAAAACAATGATCAGCTGGAGTCAGGCTTTGTAAGACTACTATAAAAGCATATTTCAGTCACATGTCTGAGACTCATTAGGAAGTGGGCAATAGAACCTACAAAAGTCCAAATACTGCCTTGACTACTTGAAAACTCTTGTGACCCTGGTCAATTAGTTACCTTGCATAAGCCTCAATGACTTTTTCTACATCTATAAAATTTGAATGATGATCCTCTAACAATGTAGGGTTGTTATAATCATTAGAAATAATATAAGAAGTTGGATCCAGTACCTGTTAGCTAGTAGTTATTCAATAATGGTAGTTATATTTTACTACAGATTATACCATAGAATCATCCAAATGGAAAGAGCTTTACAGATCATCCAGCCTAATCTTCCCATCTGATTTTTATTTATTTATTTATTTATTTATTTATTTATTTATTTATTTATTTATTTGAGTTGGAGTCTCACTCTGTCGCCCAGACTGGAGTGCAGTGGCCGCTCCCGGCCACCGCAGCCTCAGCCTGCTGGGCTCCGGCGATCCTTCCGCCTCAGCCTTCCGAGTAGCCGGAATTACAGGCATGCGCCACCATGCGCAGCTGATTTTTTGATTTATTGTAGAGATGAGGTCTCGCTGCCCAGGCGGGTCTCGAACCCGCGGGCTCAGACAATTCACTCACCTCAGCCTGCCAAAGGCGCGGGATTACAGGCTGAGCCACTGAGCCCGGCTTCATCTGATATTTTAAATACCTTGGCAACAATCTTGATTTAATGTCAATTCAGCTTATTTTTTATTAAGTCGATAGGAAATCCACTCCAGTCCATTCAATATTTTGACACCTCTTAATATTAATCCTTTCTCACATTGATTTGAAACATGTCACTGTTAGTCCTAATTTCTGGGCTTCACATTTCTGCATGATGCTAGGGCTGGGAGAAGAAGCTGAGATTGTCAGAATCTAGACGCCTGGAGGAAGGGGCCCATAAACCAGGATTCAGACTTTGGAGGAGGGGAATACTGCCAAGCTGAGCTCCTTATCACAAGAAATTGGATCAGGGGCCGGGTAGAGAGGGATGCTTCAGTGCTGGGAATCAGAGACTTCTTAAAAGAGAGCACTGTCAGGTGTTGGTATGATCAAGTAAGAGCAATGAGATCAATTTTGGCAGCATGGAAAAGTCTTAGGAATTGTAAACAACTGCTGCTGGAAATGTTTGCTACTATCCAGTAAAATTTCATTGCTAGGGTGACACTGTCAGCAAGAAATCAGGAATGAGCAAAATCCTTGTCCCCTCCATCAGCCTTCCAATTCCCCTTCAGTGTCACTTATTGGCTACATCTGCCAGAACTCCAGAGGGTTAAATTATTTCCAACTCTGTATGTATAAAGAGAAATAAAATATTCAGGGTCCCAACCCTGGGCTCACAAAGCAGAATATGGAAGAGTGAATTTAGAGGTGAAAGACAACCACTTAATAAGTGGTTCTGCAACCATTATGTACTAAACCTTGTGCTCCTTCATCTATATCTCTGGGAATGGTTTCAGGTCTCTCCATTATCTAGGTGTATAGCGTTTGTTACACTACAGTCAGCCAGTGGCCTGCATAGATCAGAAATCTTCAAATTGTGATCAGAGTGATGACTTATTTTATGAATACACAGATAGCCGATCAAACCTTATCTGGAGTGTTTTTGTGAGAGTGTTTTAAAAATGAGATTAATGTTTAAATTGGTAGACTAAAGCAGATTTTTTTCCTGTGTTGTGAATGGGTTTTATTCAATCAACTGAAGGCCTAAACCAAGGAAAATGTTGACCCTCCTCCAATTAACAGAGATTTCACCTGCTTGATATCCTTTGAACTGGGATATCAGCTCTTCCTCCTTTTGTATTAGCCTGACACATCACAGCATTTAATGTTTGCTATTGTTGCCATATTAGGAGTATATGGCAGATTCTTCCCCTTTCTCCACCTTACAGTTAACTTGTGAAATCTAGGTTATGGAAATTTTCATTTGTCTATATTACTTTTTCTCTATTTAGATTTATCATTCTAGTCTGTCAGGAGTCTTTTTTGTTCTATATGGCATTGTACCTATGATGACATGATCAGGTCAGCATGTCATGTCATCATTCAACTTTAGATGAAAACGTGGTACAGAACAGGGCTGAGAAGAAGTCTTTGTAGCACAGCAGAACACTTACCTTAATGTTAATCACTATTGATTCACTGGTTCCTCTTGATAGAGTTTTTTATTTAGTTAACCAGACAGCCCAATAGCAATCAACTACTTCCATTATACCCATCCTATCTACATTCATACCATAAAAGGCCTTTCAAATGTATTGCTAAAATCTGGACATGCTTCAGGCTACTAATCCATGTTAAAGATTGTTCAGTAACTTCTCCCTAACTTTGAAAGTAATTTAGATTAAATTCTACAGTAAAGTAATTTCAATAAATTCTAATATTGTACAGAGAAATCAATAAAAGAGCTACACCAGGGTGGAGGGTCAGAAATTTTGTTGGACTTTCCTACATTTATGTTATGGGTTAGTGTGTGTGTGTGTGTGTGTGTGTGTGTGTGTGTGTGTGTTTGCCACTATTACAAATTTCCACACCCTACTTAAAACCACAGAAGTGTATTCTCTTGCAGTTCTGGAGGCCAAAAGTCTGAAATCA